CCCCCCCTCGAAGGAAGGGGGGATCGGCAAAGGCAGAGGGGGAGGATAATGGAAGAGCGAGGGGTGGTGGGCTTTTCGGCTGTCGACGCACCTCCGCGCCCGCCGCGCACCCCCACATGACGAGCTTGCTGGACGTCCACAAGGTCTGTGACCCCCGAATGTCGTTCATGGGGGGCATCGCGCCAGTCGGGAAGACACCTGCGCGGCGTGCATTTCCCGCTCATCCTCCTCCTCCTGCTCCCCCTCTCCTCCTCCTCCTCCTCCTCCTCCGCCTCCTCCTCCTCCTCCGCCCCCTCCTCCTCCTCCCCGTCTTCCGAGAGGCGCGAGACCCAGGGGGGCCCCGACGACTCACCTCCTGGTGTGAGTCGTTCGGGCCCCTCCTCCTCCTCCTCGTCCTCCTCCTCCTCCTCCCCCCCCCCCCTCCCCCTACTCCTCCCAGACGCACCCCCTGCACACTGCCCCCTAATCCCCCACCCCCGTGGGGAGGCGGGGGGCGGGGGAGAGGCGGGGGGCTGGAAGTTCGTAGAGGCCCAGGTCCCATGAGACCCTCGATCGCATCGACCGTGGCCTTCTCCGTCTCCGAACCATTGAAGGCGATCTGGCCCCGAACGCTGCCCTTGGCCTTCGCGTCACCGAAGACGCTCAAGAACCTCTCCAGCTCGAACTTCATGGGCTCGCTGAGAGGCGCTGCAATGTTGGGAAAGCAGCTGATCACGAACGGGGCGTTGAACATCTTGGCGCCCTCTGCACTCAGAGCCTCATGGAACTGCGATATGTCTCGGAAGCGCCGACACCCCATGTTCTGAATGTGGTCCTCCTTGTTAGCCAAGATGCCTTCCAACCCGGTCGGCCTCCGCGGCCCCTTGGCTCCTCCGGCGGGCGCCTGGCCCTTGCGAGCGGCCTCCAGCTGCTGCTGCTGCTTCTGAATGGCCCGGGGATTCTCGCCGAAAAGCCGGCCCCAAGAGGGCCCCAAGAGAGCTCTAAGAGAGCCCCAAGAGGGCCGGCCCCAAGAGGGCCCCAAGAGAGCTCTAAGAGAGCCCCAACCATGCGGCACGGCCGTGCCACACTTGCGGGGCCCTCTTGGGCCCCATCTTGGGGCCCTCTTGGAGCCCTCTTCTCTCGGGGTCCTCTGGGAGTCTTGGAGCTCCAAGAGGGCCCCCAAGAGCGCTCCAAGAGGGCCCCAAGAGGGCCCCAAGAGGGCCCCAAGAGGGCCCAAACCCAACTATAAGCATAGAGTTGGGTTGGGGCGGGAGAAGACGTTCATCGCCATCGCGGGTCCTTGGCGCGGTCCGCGGCCGCCTTCCTCTCGTTCGTCCTCGCGGCGTAGAGGTCCTGCACGGCTGCCTTGACGGCGGCGCCAAGGTTCTCGATGCGCTGCTTCGCCGCGTTGGCCTCCGCCACCTTGGCGTTCAGCGCAGCCTCACTGCGGCAGAGGGCCATCTCGTCTGCGAAACCACACAGGGCATCCAACACGACGATGTCGTTGAAGCCCAGGGAGGGCGCCGCCGACAAGACGGCCACGGCCGCCCCCACGGACTCGCTATCCTCGCCAGCCTCCGGAGCAGGAGGGGAGCAGGAAAAGGTCGACGGACAACGGCGACGACGACGAAGGAGCAGGAGCGGGAGGAGGAGTAGGAGGAGGTGGAGGGGGGGAGGAGGAGGACGACGACGACGTCTACGTTAACGTTAACGACGACGACGACGACTCGACAGCCTTGCTTGCGTCGTTCTTGCACTTCTGCTTGAGAGCCGCCAGCTCCAACGTCTTGTCAGACAGGCTCTTCTTGGAGTCGCCAACGACAGTAGTCAGCGCGTCCTTGCGGTACTTGAGCACCTTTCAAGCCCCCGGAGGACGCCAGCATGCACGCGAATGAGAAAGAGATCAAGGTGCCACCTTCATCTCGTTCGCGTACAAGCCGGAGTCCATCGAGGACTCGAACTCCAGCACCGCCGCGCGCGCGCCGTTGAGGCTCTGCTCGCGCACACCCTTCACCTTCAGGACCGCGCGCCGCCAGATCCTCTGGTTCTTGCTGATCGCCGAGTCGCCGAACCACTGCTCCTCAGGCCTTGGCGTCCACAGGTCTCACTCCTTCTCCTTCCTCCTCCTTCCCTTCCCCTCCTCCTCCTTCTCCATCCCTAGGGGGATTGTCCTTCAGGGAAGGCCCCTGGGAGGAACCGCGCAATCAGGGTGACGAATTGAAAGCGCCGCTGCTACCAGAAAGCTAGCAGGGTGACGAATTGACAACCCCTGGGAGGAACCATGCAATCGGGGCGGCGAATTGACCACCTCTTCTGTTTGCTACTCCTGAGCCACCTCCTCCTTCCTCCTCCCCCTCCTCCTGCTCCTTCTCCCCCTCCTCCTCCTCCTCCTCCTCCCTCCTCCTCCCCCCCCTCCTCCCCCTCCCCCTCCTCCTCCTCCTCCTGGGCACAACCTGGCGGCCAGGACAACTAAGCCGCACTAGGAACGGAACTATTGCCCCCCCTCTTCCGGACAGGGATGGCACAGCCAAGCTTGACGCCCCTCCTCCTCCTCCTCCTCCCCCTCCTCCTCCTCCTCCTCCTCCTCCTCCTCCTCCTCACCTCGCGCTCCTCATCCCCCTTCTCTCCTAGCTCATCCCCCGCCCCAGGCGAACGCCGCGCTGGCTGGATCTTGGACCAGGGCGCCCGCCGGCTGGGCGGGGCGGGGAGGGGGGGGGGGTTGGCGGAGACATAAGGATGAGGGGCGAGCAGAGGGAGGAGGGGGAGGAAAGTGGAGAGAGGGGAGGGATCGCGGAGGAGGTGGAGGAGCGGGGGAGGGACGCGATCAAAAGGAGCAGATGATGCGCCCAGAGCCGCTAGGATCCCCGCTTCTCCTCCTTGCCGCCCTTGGGATCGTCCTTGCCGTCCTCGTCTTCGTCGCCGTTGCCCGACGACGCCGACGACTTCTTGGCCTTCAGGATCTCATAGGCTCCCAACAAGTCGTCCATGTCCGGCATCATCAGCCCCTCGTGGTCGAACGCGCTGAAGCCCTTGGACCAGTCAGCGTTCCCGCTCATCGCTTGGGACATGCTCGAGTTGGCGCCCTTGGTCTGCATCTTCTGAACCGCGTCTGCTACCAGATCCTCCGAGCGGCCGCCCATGCTCTCGGCCCCGGAAGTGAGCGAAGCGAACATCTTGTCCATGTCATCCTCGGACGCCTTCTTTTTGGATTTGTCGATGGCCACCAGGCTGCGGCCTGACCTCAGCTCGTCGAAGCGCCGCCTGTACTGGCCAATCGGCACCTCGCACCGCTTGAAGCCCCTTGGCCCGTCATTGTCCTGAGGCCACTGGGGGGTATCCAGCCAGATCTTCCACTGCCTGTTAGCCTCCTCCTCAGTGAGGTTCCCGAAAGGCGTGGTCGCCGCAATCTCGAGCCATTCCCGCTGCCACATCATCTTCGTCTCTGTGTAGTTCATGGCGCCCTTCTGCGCAGACGCCTGGCTTGAGAGCGTGAGGGTGCCCATGTTATCCAATGAGCGCCTGTTGTAGTTCGTGGAGTCCACCGGCGCGATGGCGTCGAAGGCCTTCAGGCGCGCGTCGTATTCCTTCTGGTCGGCCCTCAACTTCTCCAATGCCTCTCTGCCGTGCTGTGATTCGTAGCGCCGGTCGAACGCAGTCCTCGTTGCTCGGCACCTCTTGCAGCGTTACTCCTTTTTATCGAAGCACTGGAGGGGCTTCTTCTTCCTGCAACTGTTGCACTTCCTCGAGGGCCCACCCTCACCTGCCTCCTCATCCTGGTCTGCGCCGCCGGGCCCTCCAGCAGCACCGGGGGGAGGCGCGAACGGCGGCGGCGGCGGGGGCGCGGCTGCGTCTGCTCCTTGAGGCATCTGCCTCTCCACCTTCCCTGCCCAGGCGCTGTCCACGTCGTCCAACATCTGAGCTGCCACGCAGGCGAGAGGTGCCGCGGGCCCCGCTGGCGGGTGGGGGTGGAGGCGGGCAGCCAGCGCTGTGCTGGCCGCGCAGGTCTTGCAGCCTGCAAGACCTGCGCCTGCAAGTTGCAGGCGTCTTGGCACCAAAGGCTTCGGATTCAACTTCGAAGGGCCCCGCGATTTTCCTGCCCCCATCGCCCCGCTTCTGACCGCCAGATGGAGAACGCCAGTGACCACTCACGATCAGCGCGCCTGGCACTTGTTATGGCTTGGTTGGGAGGAGGAATCTAGTAACGAGCTTTGCTTAGGTTGGTTGGCAGCTTGATTTAGTTTAGTCGGTTGGTTGGCAGCTTGATTTAGGTTGGTTGGGAGGAATCTAGGTTGGTTGGCAGCTTGATTTAGTTCAGTCGGGAGTGCCTCGGCACATGGACGTAAACGTACAATGGAGGACGAATGAAGAGGGACATGAGCAAGAGACGAAAAAAGGAGGGTGGAGAACAGAAGGAAGGAAAGGGGAAGAATGAGAGGGGAGAAAATGGTAAGGAGCACGGAATCCGGAATGCCTCAGACCGGCGACAGATAACGTTGGATACTCGGGACTTCCTTCCCTCGCGCCTCGAGTCTCGAGTCCCTCGAGCAACGCGAGGAGCACTGCACTACGTGGCCTGCCACGCGGGCCAGCTGCTGCAGGCCGCCCGAGCGTTCGCAGACAGGCGACCCGCCCGTGGGGGAGGGGATCCTGGCCTGGCCAGCAACCTTTAATCAGATTCTCCGCCCTCCCTCCTCCCTCCCCCCCCTCTCAGCCTGCCCCTCTCCTACTCCCTCCTCCTCCGCTTCCTCTCCCTCCTCCACTCCTTCCTGCACTTCGCAATCGTCTTGCTACCGTCTCTGAGAACGCATGTCTTTCTAGGTTGCTCCTCCCCCTCCTACTCCTTCTCCTCCTCCTCACCTGGCCGGGCGGGCCCCTTGCACAGAGAGTTGAAGAAAAACGAAGAAGGGAATCATAAAACATCCAGGGTCCAGGGGGGCCCGGAGTCCGGATTCCCTAGTCAGGGCCTGCCAGGGGCTCATTCACAGGTTCCTGGAGTCGTTGCCAGCCAAGGAACCTATATCCTAGTCTGCGTCATGCAGGATGCTGACGTTCGCCAGGGACGCCAGGATGATCACGCCAACAGCCGCAGCATGCATTCCGTTGCCCATCATCTTCTCGATCTCAGACTCCTCGAGAATCGACTCGATTGGAACGGTGAACGGGTAGCGGTCGATCAGATCCGGCTCGAAGGAGAGAATAGGCAAGCCCATCGCCCCCAGCCGCTCGAGCGCTATCATGGGGCGACCCTTCTTCAGGCTGTAGACGATGTTCCTCTAGGAGCTAAGAGGCTCTACTCAATTCCCCAGGCCCCTCGCGTCACCCTCGTAACTGTCGTAGCTCCTCCCCCTCCTCCTCCTCCTCCTCCTCCTCCTCCTCCTCCTCCTCCCCCTCCTCCTCCTTCTCCTCCCCCATCCTCCCTGACCGACCCCTCTTCCTGAGGAGCCTCCTCGTCCTCCTCGCCCTCCTCCTCCTCCTCCTCCTACTCCCTCCCCTCCTCCGCCTCCGACTCCTCCGCCTCTTTGCTCCTCCTCCTCCTCCTCCGCCCCCTCCTCCACGTTGATGCGGTGGTTGGTTTGACGGCCCAATCCTCTGAGTCAGAGCTGGCGAGGTTCTCGACAACTGAGAACGGGATGGGTACTGCATGAGGTCACAGCACGCGTCAGGCACCCCCCCGGACGCCAGGGGGCCCAGCTTCTGCTTGGCCAACTCCACGAACATCTTCGCCCTCTTGCGGTTGCCGGAGGGGACCACGTGCTTGTGCGACAGGCCAGTGCTGTCGAGACCCCTTGACGCAGCAAGCTTGGTGATGTAGTTCCTCTCCATCTCCTCCGAGGCCCTGAAATAAGCAGAGGCGGGGAATTCGCACTTGCGGTGCACGGTCGTCTTGAGGAGGTCCTTAAGCTCCAGAGGGGATGTCCACCTCGCAGTGGCCATCTTCACGCACACCAAGTAGATCCGGTAGCGGCCCGACGGGATGCCCATGTCCGAAGGCGAGAACACGTGACGCATGCACTTATAGCCATAAGGCGCCTGATCACCCAAAGCTTTGATGACCAAGCTGGGGCCCCACGTCCGGGTGCATTCAGCGATGACCCGCGGGCCCGCTCGCGCGGGCACCTCGCGCGAGCGCTGCTTTCAGAAGAGGGGCCTGCGGGCCTGCCACTTTGCAAAAGGGCAAGAGGGGCCTGCCGCATTGCACAACAGGAGGCCCGCCATGTTGCAAACCAAGACTGGGACAAAATGGGACTGGGCCATGCAAGATTGGCGGACAATGGCGAACAGCCTATGAATGATGTCTTCCCGTTCGATCGTTCGCTCGAGAAGCCGCTCCATGAAGGCTGTGGTCGACTCCCCCAACAGCTTTTTCATAGTTCCACGCTGAGACCAGAACGTGCATATCACACCTGCAACGTGGACTCTGATGCGGCCCACCTCTGGGGGCCGGGGCCCATTATCGCAATCCTCCCCAAAGACAGTGCAAGTCTTCTCGCACTTGAAGCACCACGCGCGCACAGCGCGCATGTTGCGGCCGTAGGCGCTCTGGGCATTCATCAGGGCCTTGAGCAGATCATCCTCGATGCTCCTGGTGCCATGCCCGAGGTCGAGGTCCTCGTCCTTGTGATCCGCAATCACACGGTTGACCTCCAGCTTGAAGGCGTCCTTCATCCTGGTCAGCACGTCTCCGAAGATGCAACAGCGCCCCTTGGTAAATTGGTTGTGGGCCAACAATTTGCGACAACTTTGCAAGAGGTCCCCCGATCGTTTGAACGTGAACCCCATGCACCGCCCGGCAACCTTCTCTTCATCCGAAAGGCCCTGCTCCACGAGGCTGCCCAGGTAACCGCAAGAGATCTCGGCCATGCCAGAACCAGAAAACTCCGTGGAGACCTCAATGCCAAATAGCTTCACGTTCTGGACAAACTGATCCCACATCGCCTGATCTCCGTTGCCAGAGCTGCCAGAGCTGGCGCTGACGTCGAAGGCGCGCTTCAACATGTCTGGCCAGCGCAGCGCGTCGTCCACGCACCGCGGCCCGGGCAGCAACTCATCCTTCTTCGCCGAAGTCGCCTTTCTCGCCCTCTTCGGCGTCTGCTCGATTGGGGCGGAGCCTTCGGATCCTTCGGAGTCGGAAGAAGACCTACTGACCTGTACCTCGGACTCCCCGCCCTCCTCAGCAGCACCCTCGTCGCTGTCGTCCAAGTCCAGCTTCAGGCTGGAACCATCGGACACCACCTCAGCCTCTGGGCCGCTGTCGTCAACGAGCGTGACATCATGGTCAGGCTGCAAGCCATCGGCGGGCTGAGACTCTGACATGACAGCAAAAGTGTGCCTGGGGTCAAGACAGTCTGAGATGCAATGTGAATATTAGAACTGTTCACTATTCCCTCGAGGCAAAACTCCTATCACGGATGCCGCATGGGCCATGGGCTGGCGCAACAACACCCCCTCAAACTTGGTGGCTTGGGGCCGCGGGGGGGTGGGGGGGGCCAGCGGGTGGCCGAAATCGGAACTCCCTGAAGCGCTCTGGTTGGATGCCCAAGCTCATGGCCCCCCACCTCGGCCCGACCCTCTGCAAGACTCGCTCAAGGCTTTTGGGGCGGGGGGCAAGACTGCAAGTCGGCTTTGGGGGCTGCAAGGCGGCGAGGCGCTCCAAGAGGGCCTGTAGCCCGTAACGAAGCCCGAACGACCACGCTCTGACTTCCCGAAAGGCGGCGGGCACGGTGCGGCATTGGGCACATTATCATGGCCTTGAGGCCGTCATATATGCTAAGCCTACTGATCAGTTGCTGCGGTTGTCTGCGATGATTGCGATACTGATCCTCCATCCCTCATCCTCCACCCTCCTCCTGCCCCCACCTTCCCGCCTTCCCGCTGCCCATCCACCGCCGATCACCGATCCTCCAGCCCAGTGGGCCCGCGCGGCGGGAGGGTTCGCCAATGAATGTTCGAGCCCCTTGGCCCTTGTCGCGGGTGGTGGGGCCGCCGCGAAAGGTTGACACGGTCGCCCCTCGCACCCTGGATTCCGGGGTTTCGCATTGCAGGTTGGGACGGTTTTTCCGCCCCCACTGCTTTCCCGAAATCTCCGCCCGACTGCCTTTGCCTCGGTTCGATGCTGGCAACATGGATGACAAAAGGAACTTTTGGGCTTTGGGCTGGGATATGCTTAAATGTTTAGCTTTTATCGTTTCAGAGAACAGAGAATCAACTTATCCCAATGCGACCCTATCTAGGAGGTGGAGCCCCTAGGAAAGCCCCTAAGCTAAAGCTAAGCTACAGCTAACTAAGATAAAGCTAAGCTAAAGCTAAGCTAAAGCTAAGCTAAAGCTAAGCCAAAGCTAAACTAAGCTGAAGCTAAGACAAAGCTAAGCTCAAGCCAAGATGCAGCTAAGCTACAGCTAACCTGAAGCTAAGCTAAAGCTAAGCTAACGCTAAGCTAAACGTTAGCTTAGCTGTAGCTTAGCTTTAGCTTAGCTGCTAAAGCTAAGCTAAAGCTAAGCGAGCGCTAAGCTAAAGCTAAGCTAAAGCTAAGCTAAATATAAGCTACAGCTAAGCTACAGCTAAGCTAAAGCTAAGCTACAGCTAAGCTGTAGCTAAGCTAAAGCTAAACTAAAGCAAAAGCTAAAGCTAAAGCTGAAGCTAAAGCTAAAGCTCCCAAGGGACTGGGGGAACCGCTCCCAGGGGGCAAGGGGAACCGCCCGGGGCGCGTAGCACTGCCCGGCGCCTTTAAGCTAGAGGGTACGAGCCCTTCTGGTCAGAGCCTAGGTGGGGGGCGACATGTTTTTTAGTTGTTTTCTGGACTTGGCAATTTTTCACAAAGAAATAATATGATTTTCAAAAAAAAAAAAAGCATCCCCGAAACTGATTTTTGAAGGTTTTCCAGGAATTCACTTGTTTTCTATTTTTTTTTTTTAAAAAAAAAAATGTGAACAAACAATAGTTTTCTGTGTTTTTTTCCGCAAGAGCGAAAAACACATCAGAGAAACAACAGAAAAGAGCAATAACATGAAACATCCACGCCAGCGCAACCAGATAGCGCGCCCCGGGGGTCGTAGCCGCAGGGCGCGCGACCTGACAATACCCCCGACATTCCCCCGACATCCCCCGACATTCCCCCGACATTCCCCGACATTCCCCCGACATTCCCCGACATTCCCCCGACATTCCCCCGACATTCCCCCGACTTTCCCCGACATTCCCCCGACATTCCCCGACATTCCCCCGACATTCCCCCGACATCCCCCGACATTCCCCCGACATTCCCCCGACATTCCCCCGACATCCCCCGACATTCCCCCGACATTCCCCCGATTTCCCCCGACGTTCCCCCGACGTCCCCCGACATTCCCCCGACATCCCCCGACATTCCCCCGACATCCCCCGACATGCCCCCGACGAGCCTCTGATCTCAAGTGAGCGGCCCCGCCCCTGGATTGCATTCCAGTGTTGGTTGGGGAAGGATTTGGCGCTCAAACTGTTTAATAGTATAGAAATCATGCATAAAACAACAGAAAATGCAATATATATATATATATATATGTGTATATACATATATATAAAAAATCAAAAACACAAAAATGAAAATCATTGATTTTCAATGATTTTCAATGTTTTGGGGAAAATCAGTTTCGGCGAGCATTGGTTCTCGATTTTTTATATAATTTACGAAAGAAACTCTGGCCAGCCCTAAAGTTTTTCTGTTTTCGGGTAATTATCTGGCAATGAATCGTATTCAGCGACCTAGGCGATTCCGCTCATGGGAATCTCGGGATCCCACGAGGGTCTGAAAAGAATCCTTCCGTTCCTGAGAGGGTTCTGAACATTCCTGGAAGATTCCTGAATTTCAAGAGAACACCTGGAGAATTCCGAACGATTCTTGAAGAGTCCGGACGCCCCAAGGTGTTGCAGCACCCTCAGGATCAATTTTGACCAGTAGGACCACAGGATCCATTGTTCTTCATGGCTCAGGAACCCTGCTGGGCTCCACTGGGCTCAGGGCTCAGCAGCATGCAACAGAACCGCTCATGAGGGGCCCCTTGCGACTTGCGGCCCTGGCCCCAGGTGGCCCCAAGGGCCCGAGTCCTAGACGCTGACTGGACTGTTGGATCAAGTTGGATCGTTATCGCCCAGCTAAATAGGAAATCTGGATCTGACCCCGAGCTGCTCCGCCGCGCCATGTTAAACCAAAAATGGATTGGCGGATGGTTGCGCCCCCCATCCCCCCCAAATCAAACTGGGTCGCCTGTCGAGAACGCACGTGGGGTTCCGACGCTAAACACTTGGGCGCACTGCGCGCGGGGCCTCGGGGGTCTCGGGGAAGGCCTTGCGACCCGTCGACGCACAGTGAACCCTCTTTAGCGGTGCTACGGCCGCGGCCCACGGACAACGCACTTTGGGTCGTCGGGTTGTCGCCAAGAGGCACTCGCGATTACGCTTATTGCCGCTGTTTGCGCATGCGTTGTTGGTCGTCATTTTGCTGTGTTGTGTTCGTGTTGCAGTTGCTTCTATGTTTCTCTCTCCCTCTCTCTCCTGTTGGTGTTGCTGCGTTGCTGTGAGAGTCCTGCCCTTGTTGCTGTGTTCTGTGTTGGGCTGTAGTTGTTCCCTCTCCCTCTCTCTTTATCTCTCTTTCTCTCTCTCGTTCTACATCTCTTTCTCTTTATCTCTCTCTCTCTCTCTCTCTCTCTCTCTCTCTCTCTCTCTCTCTCTCTCTCTCTCTCTCTCTCTCTCTTTCTACCTTCAAGGCGGCGGATCCGGCATCCTTCGCATGTGCGAGCCTGCCTGCGTCGCAGGATACGTAGATCCAATTTGCAACTGGGCAGGCCACCGCCCCGCTTGAGCTTGAGTTTGAAAAAGCGGGGGCCCGCTCGAGGGGGCGCGGCTACTGCCCGCGGTGACCGCGCAAGAATGCTGGGGACCCCAGCGGCCCCAGCGCCGCTGCTGGGCCTAGGCCTCTTCCCCCAGGAGACAAAATACCTCGCTGACCCTGCCCTCGGCCCGGCCCAGGGGGGGGGAGTGAAAGAGTGAAAGGACCTCATCCTTCTCCCGTTGGAGGTCTGCCAGATGCCACCAGGCGATCTCAGCCTGCGGACGCCAGGCCGCCCGGGCCCAGGGGCGCCCCAGGGGGGGGGGGTGTGGCGAGGGCGGAAGGGTCGGGTTGAGAGAGCGGGGCAGGCGCGGCAGGTCTAGGTGGGCAAGGAAGAAAGAGGTGGAGGGAGAGCGGAGTGGCAAGTCCCCCAGGCCCCTCCCCTTCGGCCTCCTCGCGGGGGCGCCGCTCCATGTCCTTCTGGGCTCTGGCGCTCTCATTGGGCAGACCTCCTTCTGGGGCTAGAAGGGGCGCGTTTCAGCAAACCCAACGCGTAGGGGGCGACCCGGGACTGGTCGCGGGTCAACGGTTGACGCCCTGCGATCAAGAATAGAATCGAGACTCGTCCACCCGCCTGGGGGCCCTCTACGTGTTCGATTTGCTGGTTCGCGCCCCCTTCGACTCCTCGCTGGGCTCGGCCTGTATTTTGATTTGCTCCACCAGTTCCTCGTCCACCTCCTCCTCCATCTCTTCCTCCTCATCCTCCTCTCGCCCAGCGTCGCCCCGGTCGATTTTCATCTTCCTGAATAGCGCTCTCGCCCCCCTCCATAGACCTCCGCCGCGGCCGCCGTGGCGGCGCCAGCTCTCTCCAGGAGGCGGAGGGGCCGATGGCGGCGCTTGCCGCGGGCGGCAAAGCGAGCACGAGCACGAGTCGAGGATGAGGCTCGAGGCTCGGGGCCCAGCGCAGGAAATAATACAGCGGGGGGCTGCGGCAGCTCAACCCCGAGGCACTGTCTCACCCATCCCTAGCGACGGCGGGGCGACGGCCGCGGCGCCAACAATGGAGACAGGGGGCCGCAGAGGAGATCAGAGGGCTTGTCATCTGATCCTCCTCTCCAACTCCTTCTCCTCCTGCTCCTCCTCCTCCTCGTCCTCCCTCGGAGGCGCGCGCTTCCTCCTCCGCCTTCTCCTACTCCTCCTCCTCCTCCTCCTCCTCCTCCTCCTCCTCCTCCTCCCCGTCCTCCAAGAGGCCCGAAATCCAGAGGGGCCCGAACGACTGAGTCGTTCGGGCCCGAACGATGAGTCGTTACGACTCATCTCCTGGTGTGAATCGTTCAGGCCCCTCCTGCTCGCCCCCCTCCCCCTCCTGCTCGCCCTCCTCCTCCCTACCCTCGTGGCGCGGGCTTCCTCCTTCATCCCGCCTTCCTCCGTCCTCCTCCTCCGTCCTCCTCCTCCGTCCTCCTCCTCCTCCTCCTCCTCCCCCCCCTCCTCCTCACCTGACCTCCTCCTCCTC